GAAGAACCAATGCCTTAAACTGATACTGAAAGACAAAATGACTAGCAGTGGACAGGAAGAAGGAAGGCTGTACCTCACTCCCTCTACTAAGCTTTGTATACTACACTTGCCCATCATTTCTCTCAGTGCCATTTGTCATGGAACTGGCTAAAAACATGACACAAGGAAGCAAATCCAGATCAAACACCACACTGAAAAAAACGTGAAAAGGAAAAAAAAAAGCAGCAAAAGCCTATTTATGTCACAAAAGCAAAAAGATGCAGTGATTAAGTACATATAGGAAGTAGGTCATTTAGTAAGAGGGAAAAAAACCTGCACTTGCGGAAAAAACTCTGCCCTGCGTTATGTAACAAACACAGAAGCTCCAAAAGAAAAAGTGACTGCAGACAGAAGACATTCAATCTTGGGTCCAATGCATTAAAACAACCCCAAGATGTCAAAATCAATTATAAACCACAACGATAAATGCATTTAAGTGCATCCTGATAAACTCTATCTTAACATCTTACAAACCTCCTATGTGGGACAGCTACATCTAAACTACCATATTCAGAACCTCTGGTAAATGAGGCCATCTGTAATCAAGCTTTAGTCAGCAGAAAACAATGAAAACTAAGTACTGCAGGACTGCAAAGATTTTTATTTAAATGTCCATCAAAGTCTTAATAATTTCACTATAAGTGTCCTTTATGAACAGACACCCCAAACACATATGCTGAAATAAAATAATTTGGGGACCTCAGTTACATGTCCTACTACATATACAGATCAAATACGTAACCCCACATCTACGAATTAAACTGATCCATAGATAGATTTGTTGAGGCTCTCTTACTTTAATTTCAACTTGTTCTTCCATTTCTTTTGTCTTTATTGTAGTGTATTCCTTTTCTAACCTAAAAAATTAGAAATAGTTATGATTAGAAAAATTGCAGATAACTTAGTTGTTGGTGTAACACCTAACAAACAGTAGACCAGAGATACAGATTATTGCTACTTCCTCTGTTTAAGTGGCCACTTGAAATGCACTCCTGTAAATATTTAGACTGGACATTAAAACTAAATTTAAACACAGAGACTTCTGTAGATATGAAGAGACTGAACCAGCACTCTGAAGTGCAGGTGCTTACTTGTATATATTTACAGTGGCAATGACTTGGAGCTACTCTGTAAGAACCACTCAATGTAATTATACAATAATCAACTCAACAGAATCAGCCAAAGGAAAACAGAGCTTGGAAAGCCTGGAAGACAGAAAGAGGCAATGAGATTTGAGACAAAGATCTTAAACGTATAAAACAATTTTGGCCCCTCTCCAGCAAACCACAAAATTATCCCAATTGAAAAAGGTGTCAACAAGAAGAACCAAGCCGATATATGCAAAGCCTCTACAGAAGGCAACCAAGGAAGTTTAGACTTGGAACGGCAGGATTTTAAACCACGCACACTTATACCAGCATTCAGAGAAAATGTTTTTCCCGAAAGCTTTGTTACTAGTTCTGTTTTAGATAAACTGCTCACTCTACAGCATTGATCATAGGCCACTGACAGAACGATTGGCAAATTCATCTTGAAAGACCCTAGCACAATCTGCAGTGCAAGAACAGTGAATGTACAGTATGCTACAACTGACTGGAGAATTGACAGACTTAACCCTGGAAAAGCACAATATGTGTGGCTTGGCTTATCAAAACAATTTACCAAAGACAGAAAAGACCAGACATGCAACTAACCTTAAAAAAAAAAAGGTATATTATGCTCAGGATTTCAAAACCCTAATTAAAGGTATTTTACAATTATCAATGGTGTTACAAAGTTTCACCAATTTATATTTTAAACAGCACTAATCTTGACCATACATGCACTCTTTAGCTCTGTGAATATTTTTCCAGTTTCTGAAAACTGAAGTCTTAAGAATTTAGGCCAGATCATAAAGTTTAACCTCCT